CTGGTGTGTGTGTGCAGGTCCAGAATCTGTCTGGTGGTGAGCTCCAGCGGGTCGCTCTCGCGCTGTGTTTAGGAAAGCCTGCGGATGTGTATCTGATCGACGAGCCCTCAGCATATCTGGACTCTGAGCAGCGTCTGATGGCCGCCAGAGTCATCAAACGGTAACACACACAACTCTGATGGCCGTTTTTTTGCTTATTTTCATTTATTTATTTATTTATTTATTTTTCCAGAAATGCATACAGAAATTTTACAAAATACACATATCAACCAAGAAAATACAGATAAACAACAATTTAAGAATAGATGAGGAGAAAAAAAGGACCTTATAATTTATTTAAAATATATGTGACCCTGGAACACAAACCCTTTTTTATGGGTAAAAAAAACCTTAAACCTGTCTTATGGGTCTTTTTTTTGTTTTTTTCCTAAATTCGAAAAAAATTTAAATGTTGAAAAAATCACAATATTCATGCGTTTCTGTTGGTGATTGTGCTGCATCCACTCACAAAAATACATTTTTGATATATGTACGGTAGGAGATTTACAAAATATCTTCATGGATCTTGATCTTTACTTGATATCCTAATGATTTTTGGATATCAATAATTTTGACCCATGCAATGTATTATTGTTGGCTATTGCCACAAATACACCCGGGCGACTTATGACTGGTTTTATAATCCAGAGTCACAAATCTCCTTTGAGTGTTTTAATGTATTCAGTAGTTTCACATGCTCTCTCTCGTCACCTCTCTCCTCCGTGTCTTTCATTGCCCGTCAGATTCATCCTTCACGCCAAAAAGACAGCGTTCGTGGTGGAGCACGACTTCATCATGGCCACGTATCTGGCGGACCGAGTCATTGTCTTCGATGGGATTCCCTCCAGAAGCACCAACGCCAATGCGTACGTACTGTACCTGCATCGATAACGTGTTCGTAATTGGTGATTCCTTTGCATGACGGGACATAAATTTAGTGATGCACCGATGTGAAAATTTGTGGCCGATACCGATAACCGATATTAACATTGCTGTTATGGCCGATACCGATATTTACCGATGTCGATATCCCTGTATAGAAAACACATAGCGAGGATTAGGGCTGCACGATATTGGTAAAAAATGACATTGTGATTTTTGATTTTTCTGCGATATATATTGTGATATAAAAACAATTTCACCAGATTACTTGAATTACTATATTTGGAAAGAATGAATCATTCTAGAATGACTGGGGTAGTTTTGTCATGGAGTAAATCTGCATAGAAACTAATATTAATAGAATGTTAACAAAATTTGTTAACATTCTATTAATCTATTAACCTTACACTTTACAATAAGGTTCCATTTATTAAAGTATACATTTAATGTGCACTTTAATAAATGGAACCTTATTGTAAAGTGTTTCCGATTTATGTCTCTTGAGCTCAGTGTTGGACAGATCAGTTGTTTTAACCATTCATTAAAGTGAATCGGTTCAAAGGAGTCATTAGTTCGCGAATCGGATGTGTCATTAACGGAACCACGGCACACGTTGTGATTATCCAGGCAGTTTAGAACATCGCACGAGATTTGTCTCGACCTATTTTTACAGTCTATGGTCTCGACAGTCGACACAGAAAACATTTTATCAACAGATAGATTTTTTTTGGTTTATTGAAAGTGTGGTTTCACAATTCACAACCAGTAGTTCAGAAGAAAAAAAACTTCGGTCTTCCGACCTTTTACCGTCGTGTATTCTCAAAGATATTCAGTCAACTCAATTCATAAACATGCGGGAGGGAGGGAGGGAGAGAGAGAGAGAGCAAGACATTTTGAAGACGGCGCGCGTGACCGGTGCTTTCACTCTCTCTTGTTCCCTCAGTTAAACAAGCGCAAGACATTTTGAAGACGGCGCGCGACCGGTGCTTTCACTCTCTCCTGTTCCCTCAGTTAAACAAGCGCAGCAGTCACTCATCTACATCACTTACCGGTCAAATATGGCTTTGGCGGGACAAAAATACGCATTAGGAAGGCTGGCAGAAAACAGCTCACCAGTTCCAGTCTTCGTGGCTTGATGTTTAAACGCACTTGCGCTTTTAATACGCGTGCAAAAACAAACATCCTCGCCCCACACTCACACCTACACGCACGTCAAATACACAGGGATGATCATCGGCCTGTTCACATCGGCCCTATTTTGACATCGGAACGATACCGATGTGTAAAAAATTGACCAAATCGGCCGATATTATATCGGCGGCCGATATATCGTGCACCACTACATAAATTAAAACCGGTTTTGTACAAGCTGCTGAAAGTACTTGAAGTCGACTCGAATTTGGGAAACAGCCATGTTTACGAAGAGGTGCTTGAAAAGTGCTTGACTTATTTAAATACAAAAAATATATGATTTTTTTTTTTTTTTGGAGAATATTTTCCACAAAAAAAAAAAAAAATTTCCCCATATTTTCACGCAAAATTAATCCATCAGACATTTTCTCGATGCGAAGTACACCAATATTATTAATTGAACAATAATACCCATTATAAACTTTGTATTAAATATATTAAATATGGTGTAAGTATTTTGGGGACCTTTTAAATATATAATTTTTGAGTTTATAAACTCTTAAAAAAAAATATTAAAGATATTGTTTGATTTATTTTAACAGTATCTGCACAAACCCTGTTTTATGTATAATGCATTACAGGTATCCATACGGTACGTTGTAATGCATTATATATTTTAATAAATTATCATAACCAAAATTAAACTGCATTATAATAGTAGCAGATTCATTGTTACATGAAATGGGTTTTGTCATGTGATTCATTATACTTTCTAAAGGTTTAAAAGAGTATTATAAGCCATCATAACTGTGGTTACAATTAGATCATACATTATAATGTGCATTACATGCACAATAAATACTTGTAATTGTGGATTTGAGTAAAGTGTTGCCAAAAAAAAAACATTTATGGATAGAAAATACATTTTCGGAATGAATCAAACATTGCATGCTCTTTAAACATGTGATTCTGCAACTAATGTTGAAATGTTTCTCATCAGTCCACAGAACCTGTTGGCTGGCATGAACAAGTTTTTATCTCAGCTGGAGATCACGTTCAGGAGAGACCCAAACAACTTCAGACCAAGAATTAACAAACTCAATTCCATTAAGGTAAACATGCGTTTCCAAACGACACTTCATCGCCTAAACTGGCCGATGGTTTTCCTTGGATTACATTTAGCCTGAAATTAAACTGTCACTTCATTATCAAGCAATCAAGTCAGCTTTATTTCTATAGAGACAATACAGATCGTTTCAGAAGCTTCACGGTAGTAAACATGAACATAATGATGCAACCTGCTTTAAAAACAGAAGACCATATTCAACTCAAGTCAGTTCAGTAACCGTGGAAACTTCAAAAATCAATTAATTTTGTTTTGATTTCATTTAATGAAATCAATCATATTATTAAAGTCTTTTAAACCACAGTACAGATTGTTTTAATGTTTCGCTGTAATATTTGTATCAATGCTTCAAATGTAACTTTTCGAAACTTCACAAATGCGTGTTTTTGAAAGCGTTCATCACAGTCTGGAAGGTCCTTAGTCTTGTATATTTGAAGAGTTCAGATGCAAAAGCCTCTAAGTGCCATTTCAAATTTTCTTCTAAAATGATCATTTTTATCAAGCTTGTATATTTAAGTTCAGTAATTTCATTTAAATGGCAATGAAGATTACCTATTAATTGTCATTTAAGTGAAATTACTGAACTTAAATATACAAGCTTGATAAAAATCGTCATTTTAGAAGAAAATTTCAAATGGCATTTAGAGGCTTTTGCATCTGAACTCTTCATTTATACCTGTTTATTAAACCCCCTTTTTCTGTTATCGTTTTTAAGGATGTGGAACAAAAGAAGAGTGGGAACTACTTCTTCCTGGACGACTGAAGATCCGCTCAGTATGACATCAAACCGGCAAACGCTGGCACTGCGGACTTACATGTTTGACTGAAATACCATCGCCGTCACACTGCCCAGCGGCTGCATTTCAAACACACACTTCTGCTCTCAACTCTCGGCCATTGGTGCGATTCAACAAACAAGACCTGCGAGATGAAAGCCAAGCTGTTGAAATCTTCGCCAGAGAGAAACCTGGAAAATATGTGTTTCTGGGTGAATTACCGTTATCATCAACATAACTGAAGTTCTTTCTGGTCATAAAGTGGCGTGAACGGCCTAACACACGGCAAACATGCAACTGTATATTTTGAATAAAATATTTTAATCATGTTACACGATGTGATGCATCATATTAACCAGATTTCAACAAGATTTGGCTTTTGGGTTCAGCAGTCATGTGAAGATGCAACTGAAGCTGAAATTAAAACCAGTGTCTCAGTTATATTGGGTGACACGTCTGTGCAGTGAGGTTGTTTACGAATAAACTGACTTTACGTGGAAAGACCACAACTGAGAAAGATGTTCTTTGGCTTGTATTTGAGGTTTATTACACTTACTTCACCTGTTTTTAAAGGAATTGCAACTAAAAATCTGACTTCAAATGGAAAAATTATAACAAAAACAAAGTTCTTTGAATTTTAAAATTTGATTGTTCATTTGGTGTCAAAACTGCAAATACATGAATCACCTTTAAAAGGAGTTGCAACTAAAAACTGATTTCTGATTTTGAGAAGACGAGTGTAACGTTTGAGTGGCTCTATTATGATATCCTATTCTGTGCAGGTAATTAACTTCGCTGTAAATAGAAAAGTCTAGATCGGGGCTTATAGAAAATTCCAAGCGTTGGCGTTCATGTGCGTTCAACCATATTATCTATGCATTCAACTCGTAAATACGATCTTTACGACATGACTTGAACCCAGAGATTTGAGTTTTAAAAAAGCGTTTTAGAAGAATTACCCAATCACTGATTGATCTGCAGAGACTGACACTTCAATGAGCCAATAGCCGTGCCGCCTTCAGGTTGCGCAGAATGCGCACGCGTCTCTGTGTGTCAGCGAGCGAACAGACGAGAAAGAGCGAGTGCAACAGAAACTCTGGACATTAACCGATTTATTAAGAGAGAAAAGTGACTAAATATAAAGAAAGGATTTTTGAGTCGACGCGATACCTTGGAGAAGTCGTCGGAGTGAGAAGAGGATGTGGCAGAGAATTAGAAAGGCTGGCTGATGCAGGCACGGAGGATCTACATACATTATTATCTTGACGGTTAGTCACATTTCAAATATCAACTTGATGTTATGATAAGAGAAGTGTTGCAAACTCGGTGTAATATTAGTGTGTTTGCATAGGCTGCGGTCACAGCGCCAAGTCAATTAAAGGAGACATCCGGCGCAAAATGAACCTTCGGTCTAATAACACATTGGTAGCTAGTCGACCGTTCTTCTCTGAGATTTGTTTTCATGATAATCTAATGTAAAGACTTTTATCTCTAAAAACTGCTTAACGCTAGTATATGGGGGCATATAATAAGTAAACAGAAATCGCTAGTTAATACCACTAACAAGGCTCAAAATAGCCCCACACTATCACAGTAACATAATGAGGGTCCATACATGCAAAACAAAACATTGAGAACTTTGTAAGTGTACAGACCGTTTAATAAGAAGATATTTTATAAAGACCGTCCACTTCGTGTATACAGACAGGAGCCATCTTAGAAACAGTCTCGACTAGTCGAACCATGAACGACGTGCTAAGTGAACTGTATGAACGGTGTTCGTGGTTCGACTTATCGAGTCTGTTTTCCAAAGATGGCTCCTGTCTGTATACACGACGTGAACTGTTTTTATAACGTATCTTCTTATTAAACGGTCTGTACACTTACACAGTTCTCAATGCTTCGTTTTGCATGTGGGGACCCTGAATATGCTACCGTGTAAGTGTTGGGCTATTTTGAGCCTTGTTAGTGGTATTAACTAGCGATTTTTATTTTCATTACTCTATGCCCCATATACTAACGTTAGCATTATAAGCTAAACAGTTTTTAGAGATAAAACTCTTTACATTCGATTATCATGAAAACAAATCTCAGAGAACAGTTGACTAGGTACCAATGTGTAATTAGACCAAAGGTTCATTTTGCGCCGGAGTTCTCCTTTAAGGATATAACATTAAATACATTTGAATAATCTGATAACTATAATAATAGCTGCCATGTGAACTTATGAAAGATTAGACTTTGAGTGCTCACCTTTTTTTTTAGCATGCCTTTTTTTGCCACTTTTCAAATTACATTATATATTGGTTGTTTTACTTTTGTACAAGACGCAGGAAACCACAGAAGATTTCACTGTGTCGTATTGTGTAAACTGTGATAACTTGATATTCTGTAAGTTTCTTACACTGTTTATACACTCAGCAGGGATGAAGTACCAACTGTTCCATATTTATGATTATGGGCGGAGCTATATGACATCACTGCAGATGAGTAAGTAAAACACAGGAAGCTTCACCAAACAGCAGCATTTCAGAAGAGGACTGCGACTGATCAAAGCTGTCATGTCACAGAAAAGGCCACATCCCGTCGCTGATGACGAGACAGGAAAAAAGAAGAAACCAGAGGAAGAGATACAACAGCAAGATAAAGGTAGGTTGAAAAATGAATTAACTGACTTAGGCTAACTTTAGTTGGCTAGTTAATTAAAATAGCCTAAGTAGAATACCTAGGTAATAGGTACAACTCAACGTACATTCACATCACATGTAAGGACAGCTGTAGAGTCACACTCACAGACACTGCGCTTATTAGTTCATTATTGTGTTTTAAAGCCTTGCCTGTTAAACATTTAATTTGCACGCTTTTTCTGACCATGAACAGTTACAGTGGTCGACTTTTCTGTGCGCCAAATTGATGCAGTGCGAATGTGGTTGTACTTTTACGTACTCTTTAACAGGATGCGATCAGGTGTGGTGAAGAGATGAGGTCCCATCTTTTATGGTAATGGCTTTAGTGCCTGGTTACAAATCAGACAAAAGGACTTAATTATGTTAGTCGTTTGAACTGAATTATAACGATCATTAATGTTTTTTACTAGTATGTAACTATGTTTAATTTCACATATTTACTATACAATAGCTGTCTGTCTGTCTATAAAGCTGTGTGTCCTGTAAAAAAACGCTATACATATAAATATAGTACTTGATGGCAGAAAACTGCTAGATTTCCTGCTTTTATCTTATCTTGTACATAGTAGGGGAATATAGCTGTAGGCCTAAATAGCAGAGGGTTTTAGCATGCTATATAAAGCTACAACATAGTGAGCGCAACCAACAGACCCTCCCGACATAGACACCTGCCTCCGATCCACCTGGGACTGATTTTAAATGGGCCTCCAAATAAAATTCTGCTTTGGGCCCCATTAAGACTTGGGCAGCCCATGCCTTTTTATGTTGTCTTTTATATATAAAAATACATTTTCATGATTATATAAAATGGTGTTGTACAAAATGGTTAGATTTGCTGTAGACACATCTAGTGCTCTTCTGCAGCCCAATAGATCGAACTACCGCCGTTTGAAGCACATGGTGTCAGACTGGCAGTCAGAGAGGATGGAGGGACTTTTCATTGAGGTCAGAGTTGGTGATGGAGGGACTTTCTGTCAGAAACGGCTGCTCAGATGCCTGCTTATGGCATGAATGACTTCTTGACAGTTAGTTTTTAAGTACTTTAAATAAAAGTTTTTAACAATGCAATATCCATTTTAGAACGCAAACTAAATTACCCAGTGAACATAAAGTTCCTGGGGCACTTCTTATGTTTAGGGTTACAGTCTTATGTTTTAATGTCAGAGGCTGCCAGGAGTATGGTCTGAAGAGGCTGAAGGAGAGAAATGGCTTTTTAGCGAAACTTAAATGCAGTCGGCCCGCCCGTTTCAGTGGGCTTGAGTCAAGTCACTTCATTTACGTAGATTATTTCAAAGCAGCTTCACAGTTATAATACGTAGAAATGACTGTAACAGATTGTTTAGGCTTTACAACAGCGTTAGGTAAGGCAAGGCAAGTTTATTTATATAGCACATTTCATACACAATGGCAATTCAAAGTGCTTGACATGGAAGAAATTAAAATAATCAAAAGAAATCAGAATAATTAAAACAGTTTAGAATAAAAAATAAGAAATAATGAAAAATAAAAATTATGATAAAAATAAAATACACTAAATTAAAACCATTTAGAATAAAAATGAAGAGTAACAGTCGGATGAACAGTGGCACAGTGCTCATTCAGTAAATGCACAGGATAAAGTTATTTTCCAACTAAAGTTAATTCTGATTGATTCACTTCAATTGCATATATTAAATAAAAAGTAGTTTGCTTACTCAAATGTAAGCTTTAAAACCACTTGTTTTTTTTCCCCCCCGAAAAAGCATGACTACTTTTTTTCCACACAGTGCTATCAAGAATCGATAAGAGAATCGTTAAAGAACCGGATCGATTATCAGAATCGTTAGTGCCATTGATATTTATAAATTCTTATCAATTCCCATCCCTAGCAAACGATTATTCGTTATCTCTGGCCAAAACCCAAAGCCGTGAAACGCTGACAGGTGCATCACGTGTTCGATACATAGGTATGCGCGTTTTAATATACATATGCGCTGATGTGTAGTCCTTCAAACTACAAACAAACTACATGTCTGGTCTTAAAAATGTATAACACCGATTTTTTTTCTGCCTATCTACGCGAATAGGAATTGTCCCGACAACGTTTTATCTGTACAGAAGTAAAGGGAGGGAGGCCTTCACAGGGGAGAGACTCGTTCAGGACACTTCAAGACTGCGTTGTTGTTGTGTACACACTCTTAGAAGAAAAGGTTCTATTAGCGGCGCTACGTATTTGGAACCCCTAAAAGGTTCTATACACTCTTAAAAAAAGGCTTCCTCTGGGTTCTAAATAGAACTTGGCCAATAGAACCTTTTACCAAAAAAAAATGGTTCTATATAGAACCATTTTGGAGTTCCATATATGAAGCGGGGGATGGAACCATTTCTGGTTCTAAATAGAACCATTTCTTCTAAGAGCAGGCGCAGGTCCTTCATCAGATCTGGATCCGGCGGACTGCGGTAAACCTTGGGATAAACAAATTCTAATATTAGCGTAGATGCCGTCCTTCTTATGATGTACCAAGTACATCAGGATTTAAAGGGGGGGTTGACTGCTTTTTTTCTTTGCATGATTGTGTTTATGGGGTGCAATATAACATGTATTCGTGATTTTTCGTTTTTAAAAAGTCTTATTTTTCATAAACTTCACTTTTATTGTCAGCCGCGCTCTCCTCTGTCCTCGAACGAGCGGTTGACTTCCTGATTCTATGAAACCACTCCCTCAGAAACAGGCAGTGGGCTCAGATTGGTTAGCTTGGCCCGGTGTGTTGTGATTGGCTAAACTGTCGCTCACGTTGTCCGGAAGGTTAACACCCATTACCTTTACGGGCGAAACGTGCACGTCAAGAGCTCCGGTCCAGATGTAAATATGTGTCGAACTGCAGTATCAGTGAGGCAGAATTAGACTGAGAAAGCGGCGATGAATCGAGTCAAACAGAAACTCACCACACACGGCTCTTAATAAACGTTTCTGAATGATAATTTGCTACATTTTTAAACTTTATACACGTTTGTTTTTACACAATAGCATCTGACTGGCAACAATAGCAACTGACTGGCTACTAATGTTATACTCAAACAGCATTGCCAAGTTTACGTTCTTGATCAAATCGAAAATAACGTCATAAAACATATATGAAAAATACGTTTACAACATTAGCACTTATACAAAATTCATGTTTGTACGCGTTTGTCGTAGACACAAAATAGCATAACTAATAGCCTAGTGGCAATAAAGCCAGCGCTGGCATTTGAAAAAAAAAAAAAAACACAATGGCTACGTCTGGAATTATACATGCAAATACACAGTCTTATCCTACTTACAGGTTGTGGCCCAACAACTGCTGCCTCTGGTTTTAAAGTTGAAACTGCTTTATGTTTTAGTAACAGTTTCTTGTTGAATCCGGCATTGAATTCATGGAGATTCTGGAAGCTGTCATCCATAAATGCGCAGCACAGAGAGCTAGATTACAATCGTCATTTTCAGGAACATAATCAAACATAAATTGTATCCATTGTTGACGAAGTACAGCGTCCGTGGGAAGCTCGAACACAGAAGACCTGACAGCTGGTGAACACAATACACTCTACGAGCCGCTGAAATATGATAATACCCTTTTCTGCATTTTCCGGAGTGAGGGTTGATGCAAATGTGTGGGTTAGTGACGTAGAAAACCCAGCTGTAGTCCTAATCCAGTCGTTTTTGTAGGCAATTATACTTCCTGATTTTTAAAAGACGATATCTCTGCTTACATTGAACTTTCAGTGCTGCAACTTTGCAGATACTGTTCATGCACCAACAGCAACATTACACACTATTTAAAATGAAAAAAGTGAAATCGCAGTCAACCCCCCCTTTAAGGCAACCTGATTGAAAGGGAACTATTAATATAAAAGTTGCTCTATTCAGCCATGTAGATGTTATTTTGTCATTTGTTTTGTCAGCCATGGCGCCCTCCAGTGGTCCTCCAGTGTTCTGCGACGTCTGTGATGAAAGAAAGCAGAAAGCAGTGAAGACCTGCCTGACGTGTCACATCTCCTACTGTGAGACTCATCTGGAGCCTCATCTCAGAGTCCCACGTCTAAATAAACACAAACTCATCAACGCCGTGGAAAATCTGGAGGATTATATATGCCAGAAACACGAGAGACCTCTGGAGCTGTTCTGTAGAGATGATCAGATGTTTGTGTGTCTGTTCTGCTCTGAAGGAGAACACAGGGGACACAAAACACTTCCTGTAGAGGAGGAGAGTCGAGAGAAGAAGGTAAAGAGCTACGAACAACACTTAAAACAAAACACTTTAACCCTTATAAGATATAAAACCCCAAGGAAGACAACACTGTAAAAAAAATATTTTCATGATTTGTAATCACAACATTTTTTCACAACATTTATGTAGTTCAGATAGCATAATATTTTGAGTTTCTTGTGATTAAATTAATCTCTTTCATTGTATTAACTCAATTTTTCCATTTCAATGAACTTAAAAATTTAAGGCAACCAAGTTAAAACCAACAATATTTTTTTACAGTGAAATTGGCTCTTCCTGGTTATTTTTGAACAACAAGAGTGTAACTTTTTTAAAGTGTTATAAACCTGAATTTACTGAAGCACACTGTAAAAAATAAGTCACAAGTTGTTTTTACATAACATTAACTCATCAAAATATTTTAAACAATTTCAACTTTTAATTATACAAGATTCAACTCGATTTTTTAAGAGTCAGTTTAATATAATTTAAGTTGAAGTGACTTGTACCGTGAATTGGACGTACTAAAAATTTTAAATCAGCAATTGAAATTTACATTAAAGTTTACAGCGTAGTAACAATACAATTATGCACTTTTGGGGGATTGTAGGTGATTTAGTTTATAGATCTTATGTAAATTTCTCTATTTCAGTATAATTTGAAAAAGCAAATAGTACATTTCAGAACTTAACTACAGTATAATCTACACTTTTATAATTTTAAGCATTGCTGTCATCGGGTGCAAACAGAACGAGCCTCCATGTCAGGTCAAAACCATGTTATGACAATAATGGCCGAAGTGTTTTATTCAGATTTAGTGCCCTCTGCTGGAGATTAAATGTGGAAATGACCGTCGTAACCGTAATTGAGAGATGTGACTAAATATAACTACGTTTTCAAGCTTCATGCCCAAGCTTTTAGTCGACTGGAAACAGGGCAAGGTTGAGTAAATATGATAAAAACTGAAAAGTACATGTGACACAGGACTAAGACTAAATGTATAAGTCGCTAACTAAAAGCCACAACATTTTGAATTTATTTGGGCTTTTAAAAATACAACTGTTTTTATCTGTATGTAGACTGATGTTCATCAGATGATCCAGGACAGAATACAGAAGATTCAAGAGATCCAGAACTCAGTAGAGATGAAAAAGGTGAGTGGAGGTTAAAACATATTTCAATCTGCTTAAGTTTCTCAATTAAATGGATTAAACTTAACTGGTGGACTTTCTAATCATTCTAATTTATAAAAAAAAACACAAAGCAAGAGGAATCCTCCAGTATTGAGCTCTTCACTGATCTGATCCGCTCCTTTGAGAGATGTCAGTCTGATCAGCTGAAGATGATGGAGGAACAGCAGAAAGCAGCAGAGAAACAGGCTGAAGATCTCATTAAAGAGATAAATCAGGAAATCACTGAGCTGAAACGGCTCTCACACACTGACGATCATCTCCATCTCATACAGGTCTGTCAACATATAATACAGGACAAATTAATCTGTTCACAAACCTCATGAGCTGCTTGATAATTTTATTTGTACCAGTCTTTTTACCCTCAGGTGCTCTTCGGTCATTTCTGACCGAAAAATGTTCTGTTTTGAATTTCTAAAAATCACAGCTTCATCGTAATGTTACGAAACTTGGTGACTTTTATGGCATTATGTATGTGAACACACAAAAAAATATGAGGTCATGATCCGAGCAATGCTAAGTGGTCTTAAAAGAAATAGTCACACTTTTGGTCTTTGGTCAAAAATGACCCCCATAGGAAATTAATGGGAAATTGACAAAAATTAACAAATTTTTATTTATTTTTTAAAAACTTTTTTTTAATAAAAAAAATCATTTTTGAGATTGTTTCAACTATAAATTCAAATCCATCAAAAAAAAAAAAAAACCAAAACGTGTTCATAAACAGCTGGGGAATTCACATGCCTCTCCATAGAGAGCTGTACATGCCATCTAGTGGTTACACCATGATTCTACACTTCTTCTCTATACTGTAACTAGATGGTGCTAATTTTCTTCAAAAAATATTTTTTTCTGAAGGCCTAGACTCTGTATTAAACTAAAATACTGCATTAATCATTTTTTGAAAAAAATAATATATATATATATATATATAGAAAAATATATATATTTTCCATGGCAAAATAGGCCATAAATATTGCATAAATATTAATAAATTCAATCAAATTGTCTCAAAATACTAAATTACAAAGAATAAATATTATAGAACAAAACTAAATTGCATTGGTTTTACTGGGATGGAGGAAATTTAATTTTTAGGTGTCCGGTCACTTTTGACCAGGAAGATAACAAGTGTGACTCCGAAACGAAGAGCACCTGAGGGTTAAAACATTGTACAAAAGAAACTGAATCAGTAGTTGTAGTAGACTGAATACGCTTGTGTTGTGTGGGAATAACCTGTTGCAGTGTAATATTCTGTCCTGTTGGATAGTCGGGTCATGCTGGTGTAATCCTGCAGTTATTAGCAAACAGACTCTCCTGCATTTCTCTCTTTTGCATGTTTTTATACCAAGTTACCACAGAAATAAAGTCCAATTTGAAAAATTAGCTAACTGTGTTATTGTCACAAACTAGATAAACACAAAGAGGGCTAATTAGTTCAGACAATCTCTTTAGTGGATAATTTACTAGATACACAACGAAGAAGGCAGGAGAAAGTACACCACATCTATTCACAGACGAGACCGAACGATGAAACGCAAACAAACAGTACAACTGTTAAAAGAGTAGTTCACTTTTTTTTTTTTTAACCCTTATGTGCTGTTGTGGCTTTTTTCAGCCACTAAGGGGTATTTTTTAGTCTTAATTTGGCCGTAACTTTTTCCTTGTTTCAGCAAATGGAATGATTTTTGGTGACAAATCTTATTTTGACACATATTTTGGGAAAATGCTTTGAAATTTTTCAAAAACTCAACAGTACACTCTGGGCAAATTCACTACCCTTTCGTTATGTTCGTGGCTGAAAAAAGCCACTACTTTAAACTGCTGTAAAAATGTATCAGATAAATATTTTTTTCAAATTTTTTTGCATAAATCTATTAACCGACCTCAGTCCTTATCAAAACTACTAAATGTTTTAAAAAAATTCAGGATTTTAACTCTTTAATTGCCAAATTCATAAATGATGTCACTGATTTGGGAAAAAAAACACACAAAATGACTTATTTTCAATATAAAATATGATTGTGGACTGGATTTTTTTTTACCTTTTATCAAAGTCTTGGACATGTCAAAGATTAGAAACAACATTGGTTTTGATGCATTGTTAGTTTTTGTGTAGCATCAGATTTTAACTTTTTCTCCCTCATTTACTGTTCGTGGCTGTTTTTGCCCCATTGACTTCCATTATAACCACATTTTTTGATTGTAAAGCCATGACACCATAAAATCATGCATTTTTGATTGTTGATGGTTTTCCCTGTTGGGAAGAGGTAAAATTTGTAATTTTTACTGTTGATAACCAGGTGGAACCATTTAACCCTTTAGACAGGCCTGTGCAAAAAAAGGTTAGTTTCTGGCTTTTACATGGAGTTATATGGAGTATAATAGCATATTACAGTGTGTATATGTGTGTGTGGGTGTGCGTGAGTGTGTGAGAGAGTGTGAGAACTCACCTTGATGCGTCTGAGAAAATAAAAATATACACTTCAGCTCTCAAAACTACATGGAGTAAACAAAAACAAAGTAAGTGTATTTATGCATCTGCTGCCTTTTGATGGTGAGAAATGCAGACTAAACAAAAACAAAGCAAGTGGATATAAACGCTTGTCATTTGATGGTGAGAAGAGCAGCAAGCAACATGAGAAAGGGCTTGACTTGTAGTGAAGTTTTAGAGATGATTATGCAGTCTGACCCCTCCAGCGAGCTGCAGGAGGTATTGTCTTCTCACTCTGACCGCAGACTCAGGACAGTCAGATCCTGGTTTGGATGTGGCACCCTCATCATCATCTCAAGCTTCCACTGAAGGCGAGGAGGATTCAGATGATCCTGGATCTGGATGGACTGGGAGAATCTTGAGAGGGACATGGTGGCTCTGAAAATCGCACGACCACTGCGATCATCCCACAGGCAACGTGTGGACTCCCCTCTGGATCTGTAAACGCTGGCCAAAATCAGTAGACCCATGTAGGCACAGAGATCTGTGGAGTCCACCCCAGTCCAGTTTCTCATTGTGCGGTGTCCATGGAGGTCGGTCATGCTGACAATGAGGTCAGTCGTCTCCTCCGTAAAAAACAGATTGAACACAGAATCCATGTTCTGAACCATTGTGATAGCATAGCGTGTCGGCCCTCGACTCACGCCTCTTGCAGGCTGAAGAAAGGGAATTGTCTCCGCATTGGTGGAAAACCAAACTTCACTATTTCTCCCAATCCACCCAGATCCAGGATCCACAGAATCCTCCTGCTTTCAGTGGAAGCTAGAGCTCCACTGAAGGTGAGGAGGATTCAGAGGATCCTGGATCTGTGGACTCCACAGATCTCTGTGCCTATATGGGGATGCTGATTTTGGCCAGCGTCTACAGATCCAGAGGGGAGTCCACACGTTGCCTGTGGGATGATCGCAGTGGTCGTGCGATTTTCAGAGCCACCATGTCCCTCTCAAGATTCTCCCAGTCCATCCAGATCCAGGATCATCTGAATCCTCCTCGCCTTCAGTGGAAGCTTGAGATGATGATGAGGGTGCCACATCCAAACCAGGATCTGACTGTCCTGAGTCTGCGGTCAGAGTGAGAAGACAATACCTCCTGCAGCTCGCTGGAGGGATCAGACTGTATAATCATCTCTAAAACTTCACTACAAGTCAAGCCCTTTCTCATGTTGCTTGCTGCTCTTCTCACCATCAAATGACAAGCGTTTATATCCACTTGCTTTGTTTTTGTTTAGTCTGCATTTCTCACCATCAAAAGGCAGCAGATGCATAAATACACTTACTTTGTTTTTGTTTACTCCATGTAGTTTTGAGAGCTGAAGTGTTTATTTTTATTTTCTCAGATGCATCAAGGTGAGTTCTCACACTCTCTCACACACTCACGCACACCCACACACACATATACTCACTGTAATATGCTATTATACTCCATATAACTGCATGTAAAAGCCAGAAACTAAGCTTTTTTTTGCACAGGCCTGTCTAAAGGGTTAAATGGTTCCACCTGGTTATCAACAGTAAAAATTACAAATTTTACCTCTTCCCAACAGGGAAAACCATCAACAATCAAAAATGCATGATTTTATGGTGTCATGGCTTTACAATCAAAAAATGTGGTTATAATGGAAGTCAATGGGGCAAAAACAGCCACGAACAGTAAATGAGGGAGAAAAAGTTAAAATCTGATGCTACACAAAAACTAACAATGCATCAAAACCAATGTTGTTTCTAATCTTTGACATGTCCAAGACTGTGATAAAAGGTAAAAAAAAATCCAGTCCACAATCATATTTTATATTGAAAATAAGTCATTTTGTGTTTTTTTCCCCCCAAATCAGTGACATCATTTATGAATTTGGCAATTAAAGAGTTAAAATCCTGAATTTTTTTTTAAAATTTAGTAGTTTTGATCAGGACTGAGGTCGGTTAATAGATTTATGCAAAAAAATATTTATCTGATACATTTTTACAGCAGTTTAAAGTAGTGGCTTTTTTCAGCCACGAACATAACGAAAGGGTAGTGAATTTGAACAATGCACAAGGGTTAAACTTTTGCTGATAATTTACTCACCCACATGTCATCCAAGATGTCCATGTCTTTCTTTCTTCAGTCGAAAAGAAATTAAGGTTTTTGATGAAAACATTCCAGGATTTTCTCCAAATAATGGACTTCAATGGGGTCCAAACGGTTCAAGGTCCAAATGAGAGTTTCAGTGCAAACTGCTCAAAGGGCTTTAAACGATTCCAGACGATGAATATCAAGCGAATCGCTCATTTAAAAAAAAAAAAGTTTAAGTTTTATAAGCTCAAATGCTCGCCTTGCTCTGTTCTGTGATGCGCGTTCGTGACTCTCCTGTTCGAACTCGTTCATCAAAATGAACGAATCTTTTTTCGTATCATTTGGTTCCAAACCAACAGAACCGTGACAGTTAGAAAGGTACTGTGTAAAATATAGTAACTTTAAGTATATATTAATAACATATTTACCAGTCTTCTTTCCTGCTGTAGATGTGCTCATCCCTAGACAGTCGTCCACACACTAAGAACTGGGCTGCGATCAGGATTGACTCTGATGTGAACTCCCTGTATAGCGCTCTGGCTCAACTGAAGAAAACTCTAGAGACAATAATGGAAAAACTCAGTCCAAATGGTATGTGAATATCAAATACAGATTTTTGTCAGTAAATAAAGTATTTTTTTCACAGAATATTATGGGTTAGGTTAGGTTTTTTATATGCTGTTGATGCTGCTGGAAGAGAGAAACTCACTGTTAATTTAAAATTATTGCTATAATTAATTCATCATTATATTGTCATCTGTGTTCTCAGGGTTGATGTGGGCTCAGTATGCAGGTACAGTGTGATTGAAACCACTTTCTTCAATACACTAGCAATACTTTGGTAATCTGCATAGTACGGAGGCGTATTGCATTCACTTGAAGAAAAAAAATCTACTGTTTTTCTGAATTAACAAGTTAATTATCTCAGAATTACGAGATAATTTTTCATGGAAAAGTTTTTGCTCTGTTTTTCTGAATTAACGAGTTAATTTTTCATGAGAATTTTTTTTTGCGCTGTTTTTGTGAATTGACGAGTTAATTTTTCATGAGAAAAAATTTTTTTTGCTCTGTTTTTCTGAATTAATGAGTTAATTTTTCATGGAATTTTTTTTTTTTTTTTTTTTGCTCTGTTTTTCTGAATTAAAAAAATGTCCATGAAAAATTAACTCGTTAATTCAGAAAAACAGAGCAAAAAAAATTTTCTCATGAAAAATTAACTCGTTAATTCAGAAAAACAGAGCAAAAAAAAATTTTCTCATGAAAAATTAACTCGTTAATTCAGAAAAACAGAGCAAAAACTTTTTCCCATGAAAAATTATCTCGTTATTCTGAGATAATTAACTCGTTAATTCAGAAAAACAGAGTAGATTTTCAATGCAATATGTTTCCGTAGTATAGCACTGAACAAAATTATAAATGCAATACTTTTGTTTTTGCCCGCAACTGCATATTTTAGTGTGGACAGCCTAAGGCACACCCGTGCAATAATCATGCTGTCTAATCTAACCCTGTGAGGCGGATTGATTACCTCGGCAAAGGAGAAGTGCTCACTAACACACATTTAGACAGATTTGTAAGCAATATTTGAGAGAAATAGGCCTTTTGTGTACATAGAAACATTTTTTAGATCAGCTCATGATAAATGGGGGCAAAAATAAAAGTGTTGTTCAGTATATATGCTGTACATCTGAAAATGTTTGTTCTAAAGTTGATTGCTAATGTCTGATCTCTCTCAGTGGATGTGACTCTGGATCCTGATACAGCGAATCCATATCTCATCCTGTCTGATGATGGAAAACAAGTCAGTCATGGAGACATTGAGCAGGACGTCCCAGAAAACCCAAAGAGATTTGATAAGGCTCTTTGTGTTCTGGCAAAGCAGGGATTCAGTTCAGGGAGATTTTACTATGAGGTGCAGGTGAAGGGAAAGACTGGGTGGATTTTGGGAGTGGTCAGAGAATCCATTAACAGGAAGGAGGCGATCGCACCGAGACCAGAGAATGGATTCTGGGCTGTGCTTTTGAGGAATGAGGATCAATATAAAGCTTGTGAAAACCCACTTGTCTCTTTATCTCTGATAGTGAGACCTGAGAAGATTGGTGTGTTTGTGGATTATGAGGAGGGTCTGGTCTCGTTTTATGATGTGGAGTCCAGATCTCATCTCTACTCTTTCACTGGTCAGATTTTCACTGACAAACTCTATCCGTATTTCAGCCCATACCCTAATGGTGAAGGTAAAAACTCAAACCCACTGATCATCACTACTGTGGTAAAATAAAAAAATCAAATTTGAGCAGATTGCTGTTTTTATAAAAAAATAAATAAGCCAAGATTGCTGTTTTTATTAAAAACAAGAAGCCATTTCCTCTCTCTCCTCTCCAGCTGTCAACACTGGTTTGCTTGTGGAATATTGTGGTTTTAGGTTTTTTATATATTGAATTAACTGCAGCATCTGAATAAAGACAAGCGTTCAATTCTATAACTGATATTGTGTATTAAACAGCTTTCTAATTATGCAAATACACATCTAGATTAATTTTAAAACCGACAGACGGGATATAATTTAAACATGATTCATTCTCAATTAATTTAATTCAACAATAAAGATCCTTCATCATGGAGGATCTTTATTGTTGAATTAAATTAATTGAGAATGAAAATAGCAGTGTTCTAGTACTCGAGACTCGGTCTCGAGACCATATTTTAATGGTCTTGGTCTTGTCATGGACTCGTGTCCATTTGGACTCGGAATTGACTCGTAGTCGAACATTTTTTTTTTTAGGACTCGGAATTATTCCCGAGTCCACTCGAGTTCAATTAAAAATATTTTTCATGATTATTAATGTATGTTAATAAAATATGTCTTTAAATTGATTGACACGCCCAGTGATTGGTGATTTTCTAGTGCGCAACTGCGCATGACAAATTGTAATAAAATTACTTTTAACACCACCTACTATGTGGCCTTTTTACCCTAAACTGATCATATTTTTTAAACTCTAAGTAAATTCAGTAAAAAAAAAAAAGGATTTCTCTAAGTAAATAAAAGTAAAATAGGTGATCAACCCTCACTGGTCTCGGTCTCGACTCGGACTCGACCGTCTCTGGTCTCGGACTCGACTCTCTATGGACTCGACTCTCTCTGGTCTCGGTGTCGACTCGGACTCGAGTGAGGTGGTCTCGACTACAACACTGGAAAATAGTGAATTATTATACAATGTAGATGACCCTTAAATCTAGTACATATTCTTCAAGAGAAGCGAGCGCATTAGAAGGTGTTTTTCACTTCGCTTTGACCACAATATCCACGAATCCGTGCACCTGAGTGAGCTGACGGCAGTCCATCGACGCCAGGAGCTTCTGAGAGCCGGAGACGGCGGGAACAAACTTCTCCATCAGGGTAACCGTCGCAAGCTTCTCCACATCACTGACACACACAAACACAAGCTCTACTTTCTGATGCTCTACATTCCCAATCCCTCTGTGGAAAAAAACACTTGAGACGGCAAGTTTTGGAATGTTGAGATCTAAGATCGAGAGAATACATTTTGACTCTTCCTATGACGTCAGAAAACTTCATATAGTGCACTATTATGACACTTTATTGATCCAACCAAAATGCAACAACATGTGAAACTGTTTTGTTCTTGGTATACATCACAAATAACGACTAGAGTCTTATCGACTTACAGTGATGATTTCTGGGGGGGGCAGCTTGTGACAGTCTTTTATTTGGGGTGGCACTTGATTGTCAAAAACTACTATTACTAAAACTCACGCACGGCTCGTCAGGCCATAAACAATGGATTGAACTCCCTTATGACACTAGTAATGTCTAATGGGCTCTATGCACGGCGTTATTTCCGGTGAAGCATTAGGGATGCTCGATAACTTCCGCCGATCATAGAGTCCAATGCAATACCGAGAATTTATATTGAATTTTAGACTCCATGGTTATACTAATGAAACGTTAGTCACAAAAACAGATAAAACAGACACCCCTCGTTGTGTTTATGCTTCTTTTTAAAATTATATTAAATAAATATAACTATATATAAAATTACATCTAAACGTATGTACGTTTCGTTTCAAAGACGGGAGGACAGTAAATATTGAAGACTCTGCCATAATCCCGTTTTCTCCGGTTTTCCTCCGCTTTAATCTACACAACCGGAAATGGACGAGCATCCTTGCGTCAAATGCGGAACTTATGCGTGCATATAGCCCATTGATAAATGTGGGAGTGCAATGTGTCTGGCCACCATGTAGCTCCGCCTCTGATCAAGTCATTGATAAAGACATAATTCTTAAGATTATCAAGCGGAGAATACTTTTTGTGCGCAATCTCCGCAAAGACAAAAATAACAACTTTATCCAATTATTAATTTCCTTCTCTGTGGGCTGTGCACAAAAGGTTGAGCCACTAGTCACTCTGACTATTTTAACGATGTCTTTCATAACTTTTCTGGGCTGGCCAGTTTCGATCCCTTAAGAAGCCTATGGAGGAGTGATCCAGCTCTCAGATTTCATCAAAAATATTTTAATTTTTGTGTTCCGAAGATGAACGAAAGTCTTACGGGGTTGGAACAACATGAGGGTGGGTAAATACTGACCGCATTTTCATTTTTGGGTGAACTATCCCTTTAACTTCATCTTTCAGGGCTTGACGTTTGTGGATCTTTTTTAATTGGTGTGTTTTGACCCACCTCGATATCATGTTTTAATACATTTGTCTTTAAGGAACGTCATTAAACAACGTAGTTAAATCAATTCAACAATATCACCACGCTGATTCTCAGACAAGTAAGAGAGATGAGATGACAAGCTGGACAAAATAGCAGAGTTGGAAAGTCTTCCACAAGAGGCTTGATCATCCTTTCAGTTAAACCACACTCCTGTTTATATAACAGTCACTCGCCCCACTGAAACGTTTTTCCAAGAGAGTAGCAAAATTCTGATTTGTTTCAGTAATGTCGGTGAAACAAACTGTTTGTTTTACATTAGCTGAATTATTTATTATTAGCAGTAGTACGCAAGTGTCCACTAGGGGTTGCTATTTATCCAAAATAAGAGTAGTGTACACAAAGAAACTAGTGTAACAGCCACTCTTGGAGATCAGCAAACGTCAAAACAATCCATTGAACATTACACAAAATGTAAGTCTGACCATGATATGCAACTATATTATCACCCAAACATTTATATATATATAAACATATAAATATTTAAAAAAAACAAAACCTGCAGCCTATTTGCTGCAACCACATATAAACACATTTAGAAGCAATTCATCAGGGAAGGGAATAGGCCTATCTGTTTTTATCATCATTATTGATAGAAAAACATATAATGTATGCTATGATGTCAGGTCTCACATTAGTGCCTGTCGTACTCGTGGACTTCCTCTGAACGGTGGAAGAGCTGCAGGTTTGCATGTGTCTGCGCTGCTAGCATCCTGTTAGGCCTCGCTGTGGTTTGCATGATTCAAAGCCTGTGATGACGAGGTGTCAGAGAGCACAAGACTCACTTTAGGTGGAGCTGGACTGTTACTGTCAAGAAACAAACACCCGGCTGAAAGATGGGCACTTACTGGAGGCTTTTACACATTTTTGGTGAGTTACTTCACATTCTTTCATCAGCTATTGTTTAGGAAGAGACTGCGTTTTTGAGTATAAGAGCAAGATTATTAAAACTGTTCAAAGAGAATAAAATGAAAAAAAAAAAATCTGTTTTTGCTTTAATCATTGGCTTTGAATTTTAAAAATTCTGAAAATATCTTCCTGTATCCTTTTTCCATAAATAAACAAGATTTCCTAAATATCTCAAATGTTTTCCTCAATGAATTGAGAATTTTAATGATGAAAAAAGAGATTTAATGAACTTCTCGGGAAAATTCTCTTGCTTCTCAAATGTTTCATGAGAAAAGTGTTTAGATTTCTTGATATTTGCAATCTAAAGTCGCGGAATCTCAATATGAACATGATTTATTATTATTTTTGTGATCTTTATGGCGATTCGCATTCATTGCAGCTCTGGAGTCTGAATGCTGTTTCATTTGGGTCTATTTATTTCTCTAATGGTTGTTTGCAATCTCATAAACATATAAAATGCTGAATTTTTATATAAAAATCATTATTATGTGTGTGTGTGCGTTGAAAAGCTACTTTTGGAACCGATCTAAAAGTAGGTTAAAGAACATGTTTAGTTCTTCAAAGAACCTTTCAGAGATCAGTTCTCAGAAGAATCTTCTTTTCTCTCAGTGTGAAGAACATTCTAAAATTCTAAAGAACTATAAAGAATCTTTTGTGGAACGGAAAGATTCCATTGATGTTGAAGGTTCTTTATGGAACCATCAATGCCAATGAAGAACTTTATCTTAAAAGAGTGTGTTTATATTGAATATATGCTCTTATTTGCCTTTTTTATTGATTATGTTTTGTTCTCTGTTTATTATATTTCAGCTGTTCTTCTCTTGTGTGATTATGGGATGTTCTCCACCCCAACACCATCTTCTACAGAGAGGACCACTATTCAAATATCAAACACATCCGACTCTAACACTATTGTGACCGCAGAATCGACAATATTTGGAAACTTCACAGAGGCTGATGAGGATGATGAGCTGGATGATGAACGGCCTGAACCTCCTACAAATGCGAGCCATGAAAACGCCTCGGTTCCAAACATTACAGTCAATAAATCTGAAGGCCTGGACAGAAGCTCAGTGGAGGCGACCCCTCGCACGGCCCGTCCCGAGAGCACCACACACAGGCGGATCCCTCTCGCTCCTCCTCGTCAGAGAGAAAACGGTTGGGGAACCTTCATTATGTTAGAAGTTTTTGAAATCTAGTAATTTGTTAGATGGTTATAATGGGCTATGGAAGCTGTTGTCTGTTTACTGTAGTATTAAGAATTATATATCTTTATAATCTATATAGTTTATAGAATTATATAATAGAACTGTTATGCATCTAATTGATGTTGTAACAGCCGTTGAACAACTTTATTCAGTCTGAGTGCTAAACCTGCTCATATAAAGTGCTTTAAAGTGAGAAATTCTTGCAATGCTCAGATATATTTATCACCCATTTTAAAAAGTTTCTTTTATTAGAGCTTCAAAAATGACATTTTTTACATCAAACAGACGAATGTTCATACACATGCGTCCATTCGCAGTCAAACGTTTGAAATAAAATACATATATATATTTTTTATATTTTAAATATTTTTGAAAGTCGCCTTTACTCACTAAGGCTGCATTTGTTTAATTTAAAATACAGTAAAACTTGAGTGTGAAATATTATTAGAATTTAAAATGATGTTTTCAATGTTTATATATAGTAAAATATAATTTATTCCTGTGATCAAAGCTGGATTTATCATCATTACTCCAGTCTTGAGTGTCACATGATCCTTCACAAATCACTCTAATATGATGATCATGTGACACTGAAGACTGGAGTAAAGATTTGATCACAGGAATAAATTACACTTTATTATATATTCACAAAGCTTTTTAACATGATAATATATTTCACAATTTCTACTGTATGTTTGATCAAAGAAATGCAGCTTTGGGGAGCAGAAGACACTCTTAAACATATCAGTGACTTCTATTCTGTGTTTAGAAATTTGTGGTAAATAATTTTTATTTTTTGATTATTTTAAGTACTTTAAAACCAACTTTGTAAACTTTACACCTCCAGAACACATGTATAATTTTAAAGAGTAACTAAACTGTTCGAGACGAGGCGTAAGAGTTGAGAAAACAGCAGCTCTGCGAGTGAGAAGTTTCAGATCTGAGCGGTTAAAGTGTGTATGGGTGTGTGTGTGTGGGTGTAAACGTGAACTTCAGCTCGTCCTTTCTGAATACACACTTACCACAACAGCAAAATCTCTCTCTCTCTCTCTGTTCTATTTAAGCACGCATGCATGTTTAATAGCTTCTCTTAGTTTAATCATAATGCATGCTTCTGTTCAGGGACTGTGTGTGTGTGTGTGTGTGTGTGTGTCTGGTGTTTGTTGGTTTGCTGTAACGTGATCGTTCTTCTGTTTCAGACTCAGGGTCGTACACAGGAGGTGAGCTCGACTCTGCGGTGCGGAAGAACACATCCTTTCTTCCTGATTCTTTACTCACACATTTATTCTGTTTCACATTAACACAATGTCCCGTTATAAACGTATGACCTCAATAACACATCTTCATGTTTCTGACAGGCGTCGTCATTTTGATCATAATCCTCATCCTGATTGTTCTTCTGCTTGGCATTTTGTATTTTCTGAGAAAGAAAGGAAGGGTAAGATTTTCTGTTATTTCTATTTTGTACATTTTGGATCTGTTACAAACCCTGGTCAGCTGACGTCTAAGGGTGTTTCCTCATTAAAAGGTTCAAAATAAACTTTTTTGCCATTAATAGAGGAATTAAAATATTATTATAATTATTGTCATTAGAATCACCAATTTAAAGAAGGTCACATTTTGGATTTTTCGTGCCGTTTTAATTTTACATTTTATTTTATTGAATCTTTATTGTATTTGTTGATATTTCATTTTTCATGAGTGACTGATGTAATCGGTTATCTTTAATGCTACATTTTCAACATGCGTTAACATGGCGGTCAAATTTTTTTTAAATAATTCAGATGGTTAATGTGTTTCAAAAGAAGTCTCTTCTGCTAAATTTGATTTAAAATACAGTAAAAACAGTGAAATATTATAATAATTTAAAATGAATGATTTCTATGTGTGAATATATTGTAATATTATAAAATAATAAAAAATATATAAATTTAAATAGAACATTTAAATAAATGTAATGCTAATTAAAAAAATTAATTTAATTAAATTTAATTCTATTAAATAAAATATTTTATTTTTAAATAATTCATTAATTTATTGGCAGCTCACTGAGGTTTGGAACAGAGTCATTGTACGGTCAATACTGAATCCTGACAGGAATTTTTCATATATTTACACACACACACACACGCGGTCTAAAATGATGCATTATTTGTCAGTAATCCTCCTGTTCTCATTGTAGAGTTACTCATTTGATCTGACGCGTGCCGACGGTCCTGCCAATGATTACGACACTCCTCTCCGGAGCGAGCATCAGGGCATAAGCTATGAACAAACCAACAAAGGCAAGTGTGCATTAAAAACTAGTAATAACCTAAACATGAACATTTGGGGGGAATTGTGCTTGATGCATATGTGTCTATGATGCATTTGTGTTCTCTCTGGTCAGAAACTGAGAATCTTCCTGTAATTCTCTCCTTATATCTGTTCAGATCTGCCTGTGAGTCTGGATTACGTACATGAAGACAAGCCCGAGGAAAAGTCCAGCCCGAAAGCCAATGGGTGTGCAGGAGAGAAAACTGAACAAACACCTGCCAATGGAAATGGTAACGACTAAATGAAGTCATGGTCATTGGTAGAGTTAGAGAGGATAGGCAGTCGTAAGTGCCCCTGTTGTGGTTTTTCGAATATTTCCTTTCATGCAGTGTGAAATAAAGCTGTTTGTGAATGTAAGAGGTCTGCAAAGTTTTAAAGATCAAAGTGCACAACAAATAAGTTATTGATGAAAGAGGACCTGAAAGAATCTTGATTGATATCTGACCAATCAGAGCAGAGTAGACCAATCACAACAGACTGAGTCATCTGACCAATCAGAGTAGAGTAGACCAATCACAACAGACTGAGTCATCTGACCAATCAGAGCAGAGTAGACCAATCACGGCAGACTGGGTCATCTGACCAATCAGAGCAGAGTAGACCAATCACAACAGACTGAGTCATCTGACCAATCAGAGAAGAGTAGACCAATCATAACAGACTGAGCCATCTGACCAATCAGAGCAGAGTAGACCAATCACAACAGACTGAGTCATCTGACCAATCAGAGCAGAGTAGACCAATCACAACAGACTGAGTCATCTGACCAATCAGAGTAGAGTAGACCAATCACAACAGACTGAGCCATCTGACCAATCAGAGAGTAGACCAATCACAACAGACTGGGCCATCTGACCAATCAGAGAGTAGACCAATCACAACAGACTGAGCCATCTGACCAATCAGAGAGTAGACCAATCACAACAGACTGGGCCATCTGACCAATCAGAGCAGAGTAGACCAATCACAACAGACTGAGTCATCTGACCAATCAGAGAGTAGACCAATCACAACAGACTGGGCCATCTGACCAATCAGAGAGTAGACCAATCACAACAGACTGAGTCATCTGACCAATCAGAGCAGAGTAGACCAATCACAACAGACTGAGTCATCTGACCAATCAGAGAGTAGACCAATCACAACAGACTGGGCCATCTGACCAATCAGAGAGTAGACCAATCACAACAGACTGGGCCATCTGACCAATCAGAGCAGAGTAGACCAATCACAACAGACTGAGTCATCTGACCAATCAGAGCAGAGTAGACCAATCACAACAGACTGAGTCATCTGACCAATCAGAGCAGAGTAGACCAATCACAACAGACTGGGCCATCTGACCAATCAGAGCTGAGTAGACCAATCACAACAGACTGAGTCATCTGACCAATCAGAGAAGAGTAGACCAATCACAACAGACTGGGTCATCTGACCAATCAGAGAGTAGACCAATCACAACAGACTGGGCCATCTGACCAATCAGAGAGTAGACCAATCACAACAGACTGGGCCATCTGACCAATCAGAGCAGAGTAGACCAATCACAACAGACTGTGTCAACCGACCAATCAGAGCAGAGTAGACCAATCACAACAGACTGGGCCATCTGACCAATCAGAGAGTAGACCAATCACAACAGACTGAGTCATCTGACCAATCAGAGCAGAGTAGACCAATCACAACAGACTGGGTCATCTGACCAATCAGAGCTGAGTAGACCAATCACAACAGACTGAGTCATCTGACCAATCAGAGAAGAGTAGACCAATCACAACAGACTGGGTCATCTGACCAATCAGAGAGACTGAATCTTCTTCGAACTAACCGTTTTCAGACTTGTTGAGCAATGAGGAGATGTATATTATGAGAAAATGTAAGTGTTTTTGACCTTGGATGCTCGTAAACCTGTTATAGGAACCTTTAAAATAGCATAATAGGGGCACTTTAAGACCGAGTCTAAGGAAATATCAATTTAAATCAACTTATATTTCAAAACTATCCCTTAGTGTTGTCCTCTGTCGTGTTGTCTTCATTGGGAGGGGAGTGTGTGTTGGCTTTATTGTGATGATCCATCATCTTACAGAGGAGCAGAACTCTCCAGAAGAGAACAGCTTCACTTCGAGCTCGTGCTCCACTCCACCGATGAAGAAAGTGGAGTTTAACCTGGACCTGGATCTGATTGGAGGAGATTATGAGCTGAACGACCTGAGTCTGAGCGCAGCTGATGTCCCCGAAACACCGCAGAATCAAAACAACAATAATCTCTTCAACGCTGGTCAGTCCATGTGCAGTACAGAGGAAATGTGACCTCTTCACCCTTTATTCAAATATTATTTTAAATATGTTCGTTGTCAATAATATATTAATAACTGATTATGTTGTGGTCGATGTATGCTTTTTACTGAAAAGTAAGTGTATGCATGTGTAATATTGTACGTTTGATGCACTACAGGGCGAGGATCAGCGGAAGAGATCTTCACTGAAATCAGTCTAGACGAGCCAAAGCAACATGCATAGTGTGTGTGTGTGTCCAACATGACCAAACAAACATACATAGAGTGTGTGTGTCCACGCGACGGTGAAGACTGTG